GTTGTGGGAGAGCTGAAGAGAACTTTCAATATACATTAATATCATATAGATTTTTTTAAATATTTAAAATTAAAAGAGAGAAGCAAATGAAAGTGTTCTGTTAGATTGGCTGATTGCTGACCTTGAGGTCTTTATGGTTCATCTTTACTTAAAAGCATGTAGTTTCCTCTTAGAAAGTTTGCTTTTTGTTTATGCTAATTCATTAACTCCCTACTCTTTAAAAACCAATGGGTATTTAATATTTGCTCTTAATGTGCAGATATATGTGATGATGAGAATCAGCCCCAGGTTTTCTTGTGTTCTGTCTATTTTATTTTGAGTCCAACTCTTTTGGAAGTATCCTCCCCCATCCCACTGACATCTCTTTAGAACAGTTCTTTCCAGGAGTTTTTCTCCCCTGGAGCCATAGCATTTGTGTTCCCACTTGAGCATTTTGATGTCTTGTTTTAGGATCCTAAAAACAGAGCTTTTAGTTAAACACACAAGCTGTGATTTGTTTGCTGACAGGGTTGAAGTCTCTAGCTCTCTTGATCTTATTTGTTCTTAAGCACTGACAGTAAATCACACAGTGGTCACCCCTTCCTCAGAAGCTTTTCCTTACATCCTTTACTTGTTGTGTACGTCAGCATCACAAGAGCCCTGCTGCTCATTAGCTTTATCAGTTTCAATAAGACCCCTTGCAAAGCATACTGAACAAGCATCAAGAAGCCTGACATGGGGTGTGTGTGAAGGTGTCAATCATCTGCTGCACCCGCTCCTGTCATTAGTACTTCCTGCTCTGCCTAAGATCCCAGCATACCAAAGGGGTGGACAACTGAATGAGACAGATGAAATGGTTGATTTGTTTGACTGCTAAATGCAGCTGGGACAGGTAATTAAACAGCTCTGCTCCTGCAGAGAAGCCTGCAGCAATGTAACATGACATCTCAGAACCCAGCTGCACTCAGATTTAGATTCAGAACTAATATTAGATAGGCCTCCTCCAGATTGACAGATTGTATAAACATCATTTCTGGTTCAGTGTGATTGAAGACGAAGCATGGATTTTGTTTGCAGATTAAGTTTTCTAGGGAGAAAGTGTGAAATAAAGATATCAGAAAGAATAGCCTTACCAGGCACAGCTGCGTATCTGAAGAGCCAGAGATGCGTGGGTGAGTCTCTATTGGTGCTCCATGCCCCAGCCTACTGACTTCACTGTTCCATGGAAGTGGATATGGGCATCTGCTATGTGAGGAGACCAGTAGGGATATGGGGTGCTTGAGATGGGAGGACTGGAAGGGGAGATTGGAGCTGCTTTCCTCTTCAGTCCTTTTATCTTTGATGGCATTTGTTCTTATATAAGTTGTCAAGGTCCCTCAGTATAGACAGAGATTCTTTAATGTAGTTTGAGTAGTTCTTTCTATATAGACATAATCACCACTGCATCTACTCACTTGTTCATATAAAAGATTTAGCAGTTAATTCTTTTCTGTTTACCTTCTACAGTAGGCCTCCAGCAAGCTGTTTGTAGGGCTGACTCATTTTATCTTTTAAGTGTCATCTCACAAGTCTATTTGTAGAGCCTACCTAGACCAGTTTCACAAAATAACTTCTCCCACTTGTGCTCCTGTGTTAAGACGGCAAACATCCGTCTCCTTGCAGCACTGCTGGAGTTGGTACCCACTTGCTTGTCACCAGCAGTCACACTTGGATGCATTTCTCTGCATTCCTTCGCCACATAGGATCACAGGAGTCTTGCTGCCAGCTGACTGGCTGATTGTTCACTTAGACATTTGCTTGCTTTCCTGCCACACTGGATGTTAGCTCTGAGGGCCAACACTGTTCCCTTCACCCACCTTGCAGTTCTTGTTGCTCAATACTTTGCATGTAGTATACAGCCGCTACATGTAACCTGGATATCTGCTAGAACAAGAGCGTGCTGGTACATATCTATCTCTCCAGAGAAAAAGGAAAAAAAATCCCAGTTCATAGTATTTACCAGTGTCTGTGGCATAAACACTTCTTTCCTGGCAGTCTTCAGGCTGCCAGAGTGGCATCACTGAATTGGAAAGCAGCACATAGCCATATGTTATTGTCACTGACTCCTTTGCAAAGGTGAGACTATTGAACTGCCTGTCCCAGCTGTGTTTGGCCACTAAATAAACTGACCATTTCATCTGTCTCAGTTGTCTACTTGATTGGTATTCTTTGAAATTTTAGAATAGCTTTATCATACAGATATAAGTGCTTCATGAAAATAAGGTAATAAAATAAGCTGGGCATGGTAGCACTCGCCTTTAATCCCAGCACTTGGGGGGCAGAGGCAGACAGATCATTGTGAGATCAAGGCCAGCCTGATCTACTACATAGGGAGTTCCAGGCCAGCTGGGGCTACAGGAGATCTTTACTCAAAAAACAAACAAAAAACCAAAACAAAATAAGATGAATAATTAGGAAGTGATGAATTTTAAGTATTTACTACATTTATTTTTAATATTATTTAATTGCAACTTTATACAACTTAATTTTTAAATGCAGCTACATTTGACAGTTGGCTTTCAGAATTTCTGGAAGTTGAACAATCTTCTTTCATAATCTAGTACAAGCTAGCTCCAGCACTCTACTGGAGATGATCTCTGGTAGACCCAACAACTTTGTCTCATAGTGTGGGACTCACAAACAAAGGGAAGATGGGGGCCGAGGTGTGTAGGAGAATTGTTATTACAGTACCACTTCTCTGAGATTTTTACTCACCTCCGCTAGATGAACTACTAAAGAAGTGATGAGCCTTCTGTCTTAACACTCATGATTTGGTAGTGACTGGACAAGAGTAAGGTGACAGCAGCGAGAAATAAATCACAAGTGGGAGAGCAGAAAAACAACTGTACCTGTTTTTTAGGGTTCTAAAATAGCTTATTGTCAGCAATGGTTGTCCAGCCCAAAGTGGCTAGTGGTAAGAATGCTTCATTTTCAGAAAGTTAGCCCCGGGCCAGAAGTCCATCATGCCTTTTTAAGCCACTGAGGCTTAGTCAGCTGGACTGCTTGCTGCTTGTTTATATGTCTGTCATAGGACAGAAACGTGGCTGGAATAAGGCCTGTGGGAATCTAGAGACTAGGAACAGATGACTGAAGGGAGGTGGCAATTCAGGGTTGAGGGATCGTAGAGAATTGGGAAAATGATTGGAAAAGCCATATTGGGTATGCATAAGATTGTCTCCTTATCAAGAATTGTTAGAGATGTTGATACATAAAACAAAAAACATAATTAGTAGGGTTTGCCATATTTGGGTTCATGTAGCTGCTGTGAGAATTATTAGCTCCATTTTGAAAGTTAGTGACTTAGTACCCTAGAGTTTTACGGTCAACAACAAAAAAATGAATGTAGCTAAGATATTTATCTTTTTTCTCTGACATTGGCTATTATCTTTCAACTGCTGACTCATAAGACTTATGACTTACAGAATCCTTATAAACAAACAGAAACAAAGTTACAATGGAAATGATTTTTTTTCCCCAAATCAGAAGCATTCTTATGAAAACTGATGATAGAAATGGACATCCATTAGAAACTAATTTGCATGGCATTCAGGGAGCCATCTTCAGTGACTAGCACTGTTCTGTGGCAATCAAGAAAACAAAATTCTATCTGGGTATGCTGGTGCCATCCTAGCACTTGAGAGGTAGAAGCAGAAGGATCGTGAGTTGAAGTCATCCTAAGCTGCCAGGGACCCTGTCTCAAATAAACCAAGGGCTGGGAATATAGCTCAGTGGTAGAGCATTTGCAACCATTTCTAAAGCCCTGGGTTGACTCATGGCATGGGAGGGAGAGAGAAGAAACAAAGAATTATAAACACAGTATGTTTGATCTGAGATAGACATGTGTACAGGTTGGTCTTAGACCTCACTTGGTGGTTCAGTAACTCAGGGATTCCTGGAAGTTCCACTACTTTGGTAGTAAAGTGTGGGTGAAGTTAATTAGGTAGTAAAGGAGAGTTAAGAGGCTTTGGGGGTGAGAAGCCCTATAGCACAGTGAATGCAGCGTACTGGAAGGGTGGGGGTCCTGGGGCTTGGATATGAAGGTACCGTCCTTATCTCCATTCTCGGAACCTGAAAGGGAAGTGGAAGGAGAACAGGAAGACTTTGTAATTTCATTTATTGTTTCTTTTCCCATTGTCTTCTTTTGGGGTTTTGGAGATTAGTTTTAAGAGGTGTAAGTTTTCATGTCAAAATGGTCCTTGGTTGGAGGTTGATTAGCAGCTGTACCCATCCCTGTTGTGTTTGATGTCACTGTTCTGTTCTGCTGTAGCTGCTGCCTATCCACACTCTGAGGCTTAGTATGGAAGTGGATTCCTTTGATGGGCACCATTATATCTCTTCAATTGCTCCTGGTGGTCCTGTAGATACTCTGAACCTCCTACAGCCTGAAGATGAAATTTTTGAGGTAAAATTTGTGGGGAAGAAAAATTACAGTGTCACCAACACCAATGCAATGTGTGAACACTTTATATTAAGAAACACAAACAGCTTATTGGATAGTACAGCAGGTAGATGTCGTATTTTCCATTCATCTTCCCCATCTGTTAAGGCTCTGAGACATCCTTTTGAATGTTTGTCTGAATGACTGACAAGAAAGTTTGATAGCGTAATTTGTATTTTCCTTAGCAAATGGTTTGTAAGGATCTGATCCCTGACCCTTCTTGGTAATATGTAGTCACATCTATTCATGGATTCTGTTGCTTATTTCTAGTAAGGAGTAGGGCTGAAAATCTCCAGCTTCTGTATAGTTTTAAGATTGTCCCCTTGGAATTCTCTACTCTCTGTAAATCTGCCCACAGTGGGCTCTCTCAGGCCACCCCATGTCTTGTCATTCAGAGCAGTTCTAGGCCAGGAATGCTTAAACTATTTCCACTTATGGACCTTTGTCACCTGAACAGTTTTTTTTTTAAATTTTATTTATTTTTATTTTATGTGTATGTGTGTATTGCCTGCATGTAGGTAAGTGCACCCGTGTCGTGCAATGCCTGGAGGTCCAAGAGGCTGTTGGATCCCCTGGGACTGGAGTTACGGACAGTTGTTATCTGCCATGTGGGTGCTGGGATTCGAACCCGGCTCTTTTGCAAAAACAACCAGTGTTCTTAACTGCTGAGCCATCTCTCCAGCCCAACAGCCGAACAGTTTTTACACAACCCTGTGTATATAGGTATATAAAAGTAGGTATTAATAAATCATAGAAATTATTTTAAAATAGCTCCTTTGGTATATGTATAATTTTTATCATTTATTAAATATGAAAGCCAATTTGCATACTGAGATGGATGTGCTAGTTTATTTTTACGTAAAGAATTAAATCTTGACTGAATATTTGGTATTGTAGGGGTAGAGCATCTTCAATGTTTTTCAGAGTTGATCAATATTTTGATTTTATAATTATCAATGTGAGCATACCTCTATGCATAAATACATAGTACAAAATGGCAGATGTTTAGGGCTACTTCAGAAATTGTTAAAAATTCTGTCCTTATTCCAAGCTGAAATTCACTTATTTTTTTAATGAAGCTTAGCAACTCAAAGAGCAATTTTAATAATCAAACTGTTGTGAGGTGCTTCACCAGAGAAGACCACTCAGGCAAAGTTTTGCCAAGTGAAAGTCGTTGCTGGCTAGCTACTACACAAGGGGTGTCGGAACTCAAGTAAGCTTTTATACAGAGATACCATAACCAAGGTGGACAGTTTCAGTTCCCAAGCTTGCAGGTGCTATTCTACTAAGCCACAGTTACTGTTTTGCAGAAACAAGCCAAGCATAACCTACAGAATCCACAAATCTGCAGTTAGCAGGTGCACTCCTGAACATGCTGACTTGTTCCCAAGACATCTGGGGTTCTGACGACGTGGGTTTCCATACCCTGGGCCAACTGCTTGGTAAGTTCAGAGACTACAGTCAGCCTTAACTTTAACATGGCATAGCTATGGTCAAGAAGGTGCCGTATCACAAAACATTCTAGTATAATATAATTCCAAGATACACTAATCAGACATTGGCTAAGGAATGATGGCAGGAAAATGATTAAAACCTTGAGCTTCAGGCCTGTGTGCCTCTACATTCCATTTTAGGTGGTGATGGGGATCAAACCCAGGACCTCTGGTATACTAGTCCAGTGCTCTACCCACTGAGCTATATCCACTGCTGAACCATTATATTTCTATAAGAAAATATTGTACAGTGAAAACACTGTGCTTCATAAAATATAATAGTTTTAAATCTGAGTCAAGGCATTTCAGGCAGTCTCTGTTGGCATGGTGTGACATGTTGGTACAAAGTGCTCATGTTGTGTGTTCATACCAAGCTTACAGTAAAGTCAAGTGTTACCACATGGACAAGTGTTGCCCCAAAACCCCTCAGATTTAGTATACATTCAATTTTGAATTAATTCTGAAACCTTTTACTAGTAACAAGTTTTTCACAACCTCCACTTTTAGTTACATGTATGGGGTTGTGATCCACAGTTTAAAAAGCTGGTTTCTAAACACCTCTGCTTTCTTAGAGATTTACTTAGATTAGAAAGGCCCAGCACTAACACAGCAAACAAAAACCAACATCTCTTACAGATAAGAAGAGAAGACATTGACTTCCCCAACTTCATATACCGAGTCAGCAGCAGAATGATGCCCTTCGCTCATGTTTCTCAACTCTCATTTCGTTGTTTATTCAGTATATCACACTACCTCCATACTGCCCAAAACTGATATGGAGACTAGCAATTTAAAGCCAGCCTGAGCTACAGAGCAAGTGCTCTTTTGAAACACTCAGAGACCGCAGCGAGGGAATGGGACTCTCTTAAGAGTTAGAATCCATCCATCTTAACCAAAAAGAGAGAGAGAGAGAGAGAGAGAGAGAGAGAGAGAGAGAGAGAATCCAAAACAAGCTCTAGGATGTTAGTTACTTTTCTCATTGCTGTGACACATACTTGACAGGAAGCAATTTGGGGAAAGAAGGGCATATCCTGCCTTACAATTTGAGGGGATGAAACACATCATGGCAGGGAAGGTTTGGTGGTAGGAGCATGAGGGAGCTGGTCACAGACTGAACAGGAAATGCAGGCAAGCTGTAAAATCTCAAGGTCTACACCCAGAGACCCACCTCCACCTCCTAAAAGTTCTACACCCTTCTAGACAGTGCCACCAGCTGGAGACTGTATTTGGACACATGCACCTGTGAGGGGCATTTCACATCCAAACCACACCTGGGTTGGGTTTAATAGAATTGACTTGGTAACCATGGCTCCTAATTTAGAGAGTTCTAAAATTTATGTTTGCTTAAAATGACATTATAGGGGCCGGAGAAATGGCTCAGCAGTTAAGAACACTGGTTGTTCTTGCAGAAGACCTGGGTTCGAATCCCAGACATGGCAGCTGACAACTGTCTGTAACTCCAGTTCCAGGGGATCCAACAGCCTCTTCTGCCCTCCGTGGGCATTGCATGACATGGGTGCACTTACCTACACACAGGCAACACACACATACACATAAAAAATAAAAATAATAAATAAAATCTTTTTTTTTTTTAAAAAAAAGAGAGAAATTGTTAAGGTGGCACACAGGTTGGATGCACCTGCAATTAATTAGTTTTCACACACCTAAAGTAGTGTGTTGAGAAAAATTCTGAGTTGGGTTTCAGGGTATGAGGGAAAAGTGCTTTGACCGGTTATCAACTTATGTCATATTTTAAGATGTAGTTAGTTGCTTGTTTATTTATTTATTTGTATATGAGAATTGAACACTGTGCCTTATATATGCTAGGCATGCACTCTACTAGTGAATTTATTTTTTCACCCAGCCCTTATTTTCTTAGTTTAACTTTTAACTGATAGATAAAAAAATTAAAATTATACCTACTAATGGGATAACATGATGTTTTGATTTATGTATTCTGTGATGTTTAAGTCGGGTTAAACATATCCATCTCCTTAAATATTCATCAATTATTCATGCAGAAAAAGGCGGTTATTTTTAGAGTGTTGAAGGGAGTGGCTTCGGGCTGCTTATGAAAGATTGATGCTCTAAATTTTACTAAATGACTTATGTTCTCTTTCTGACCTTAAGATCATGTCTTTCTCTTCCGATTGACAGGGCGTGGCCATAGCTCTGAGACAATCTATGCAATGGAGACCACTGCTATGATATATAATTATTAGATGTGGAGAAGCAAGGTATATTTGGGAGATGTGGAATTATGAGTAAAACCAGCTTAGTTGATTTTATAGTTCTAGGTGGTAAGATCTGCACAAAACAAAATTTAGAATTTTTTGAATACTTTTATTTTTAAATATGTCATTGTTTTGTTTTGCTTTTTTTTTATTTTTTATTTTTGAGACAGGGTCTCTGTGTAGCCCTAGTTGGCCTGGAACTCACTATGTAGACCAGGCTGGCCTTGAATTTACAGAGATCTACCTGCCTCTGCCTCCCAGGGGCTGGGATCAAAGGTGTGTGCCACCACACCCAGCCTTCATTTGTTATTTTTCAATTTTATGTGTATAGTGTATTGTTTGCCTATATGTAAGTGCATCCATGTTGTACAGTGCCCAGGGAGGTCAGAAGAGGGTGAGAGCAGCCAGCACTCTTAGTTGCTAAGTGGTCTCTCCAGCCCCAAAGGGAAGGGGGTGATTTTTTATGTTAACATAAAAGTAATACATTTTCTCATGTATGTGTCATATGTGTCATTCGTTCTCCATTTTGGTTTTGGTTTTTTCTTTTAGTTCTAGGACTAGGGCTCAAGCAAGCTCAACCTTGTGTGTGCTAGGCAGGTGCTCTACTGCTGAGCTTCATCCACAGCCCTGGTATTTTGAATTCTAAAATATAGATTTCTGGTAAAGAAACTTGAGATACAGAAAGAAACCTAGATTTGAAAGGCAGAGAAGTGCTGTGATGGCTAATCCTGGTTGTCAACTTGACTGGATCTGGGATTAACTGAAATGAGAGAGATCTTCATTGAGTCATCTGAAGCTGGAAGATGCACCCAAAATTTGGTTGTTACTGTCTGATGACAACCCGTATAAAAAGACACGGCAGGGGAGTACGCCTGGCTTTTTGCTGCTTGCCTTCTCTCTTGCTGGTGAGTTCATCTTGCTGCTGTAGACAGAAGACTAGCTTATCCTTTGGCTTCAGCGCCAGATTGGGACTACTGAGACATCCAGCCTCGTGGACTGAGCGACTATGGATTCTTAGCCTCTCCAGTGTGGTGCAGCCATTGTTGGACTACTTGGACTCTATCCTGTGAGCTAAGCTGATAAATCTCTATACATATATATTCATTCTACCGGTTCTGTTTCTTTTGAGAACCCTGACTAATACAAGTGCTTTGGGTTCTAGATTTGCCACAGCTCCCAATGTGTCCCATGGCATGCCATTCAACATACTGGAGAATCCATTTCTTTATCAGTAAATGCTTCCTTCACTGAATGTTTGTGAGGATCTAACCCAGTCCCATCCATGTAAACTCTAAATCTTCTCTCACTAGAAGAATTGGCTGTGTTATCACCTGACAACATGTTAACAAGTGTAGGTACTATACTGAGGCCTGAATGTGATGACAATGGGAAAGGAGTGTGCTATAGACTGTTTTCTGGAAGCCTGTGTTCATGTGTGCCTTTCCTAATCAAAAAGTCTGGATAATATAGAGTTGATGGCACATGAGAGAGGGTCTCAAGTTGAAGGACCTTGTGAAATATTGTGAATTCTAAAGAATAATTGGGCTTCTTCTTAGTAACTGAATGTAGATATTAAAAAAAAAGAAACAAACTTTAAAGTTAACCAAGCTCTTGATCTGTCTCTCCCTCCTTCCTTCACTCTCATCCTGCCTTCCTCTCTGTGTATTCCCCTTTCCCCTCCTCCTCTCTAACCCTCCATCTTCCTCCTCCTCTTCCTCCTTCCTCTCTCTGTCTCTCTGTCTCTGTCTCTCTCTTTCCCTCCCCCCTCCCTGCTTCCACTCCCTCTGTACGTACGGCTCCCAAGTGTTTAATGTACTCCTTAGAGTTTAAAATCAGAAACAAATATGCTTTGGGGTTAGAGGACAATGCCAAGTCTCAGCCCAGAACAGCTATTTACAGTAGCCATAAACCCCCTTAGCTAGGAGTTGGTAATGGGAAATGTGACCAATCTCTTTAGCAGTAGAGTAGTGAAGAGGACTACCAGGCACTGCTATAATAATGGAAGACAACGCAAATGAATAAATAATGAGTGAAATAAATATTTAAAGGTACTTTAAGATAGAAACCTGAAAAGTGATTTTCTAATTTGTTGAAGCACAAACTAATACTTGTATATGGGAGAATTTCTGCTTCTATTCTGTCTCCTTGCTATATTTAATATGGGTTGCTTGCTATTCAGTTGACTCTAGAATTTGCTCTGCTTTCGTCACACACTGGCATTGTGGATATGGTGTGACCAGTGATGAATATCTCCCTGCCCCTTCTGTATAGAGGTTGCCTTGAATTTTTCCAAGGAAGACTCTCCCTCCTGCTGGACTTGCTGTCCCCTGGATCCCCTCATAGTACAAAGACTTGGAACATAATATTTACTTTTCCAGTAGTGAGCTCCTGATGCGTGCGTGTGTGTGTGTGTGTGTGATTAAGAGACAGAGTAATACATCTGGCCTGATAGCTAAATGCTGGTGTATCACAGACTTGAGAATGGTTCCCAGTGATAGCCAACTCTAGGCTTTCCCCACTGCTGATAGGATACTTCCAGGAACCCAGTGTCCTCCTTCTCTCTGATGCAATGGCAGATCTGTTGGAAGGCTGCTCCCAGTAAAGGCAGCCCTGCCAGGTATCTGAACATTTGCACTATACCTTTCAGAGAGTAATGCCACGGAAGTGTCACTAGCTCTAAAATGCTGCTAACCCTTCCTAGAAGACAGGATAAAAGATTATTGTGAGCCAGAGCATGTTCATACCTCACTGACGTCTAGGGAGTAGCAGAGAGAGCACTTTCAGTGACTTGTAGACAGAGCAGAGAGAGCTCTGAGCTAGTCATATATGAAAATCATGATAGGCTTGATTCTTCCAAATCATCTGTGGTGTAGACTATTATTAGATATTAAAATGTATGGTGTTTGGATAATTTTGGTGATAGGGATTAATCATTTTAAAAAAGATTGGGGGCTGGAGAGATGGCTCAGTGGTTAAGAGCACTGACTGATCTTGCAGAGGGCCCAGGTTCAATTCCCAGCACCCACATGGTGGCTAACAAATGTCTGTAACTCCGGTTTGAGGGGATCCAACACCCTCTTCTGAGGCATTGTACAACATGGGTACACTTACACACATGCAGGTAATATACTCGTACACATAAAATAATAATAAATAATAAATAAAGAGATAGGGAACGCTCTCATGAAACAACTTGGAAACTGATGCACTTCCTTTGTAGATGCACCACAATGCTTTTAAGAATGGAGCTCATGCAAGCCATGCAGATTTCTTTCCTATAGATGTGATTTTTTTTCCTAAGATGATTTAAGAATGTGTGGAATATGAAAAAATGTTGTGAACTAATATTAAACTCCAACAGCAGAATATCCTAGGTTTGATCAACCATACATTGTAAGGTGAGCAGCTTTTAGTAACATTAACTTTCATGTTGATATTTGCACTGAAGATTTGCATGTAATGAAAATGCAGAAGGAAAAGGACTTATGAAGGCTATGAGGGATACTTAGTGCACTGAAGGAGAGTGGGAGCAAGTGAGGGCAGAGTACTGGATTATCCAAGGGAGAAACCTCAGAGCTGTGAAGAATTAGACCACTTACCCAGTAACAGTGGTACACTGCCCAAGATTTATACTTTATTCTCTCCAATTTAATCAAAATTTGATGTTTAAGGATTCTAAACATTTTTAGTTGTTACTAAATTAATATGATTAAATTTAGGCCCTTTGTTTGCAGGAACGATGAAAAAATGTCCTGTTTTCCTTTTGGTTTATTGATTTAAGCAAGACACTTTGCTTTTGATTTTGCACATGCCCATTGCTGGTAACCCTGTCTTCCTAGGTCAATGGCATGCAGCTATATGGGCGATCTCGCCAAGAAGCAGTCTCCTTTCTTAAGGAAGTTCCCCCACCTTTCACCTTGGTTTGCTGTCGCCAGCTGTTTGATGACGAGGCCTCAGTCGATGAACCGAGAACTACAGAACCTTCTCTTCTGGAGATGGAAGTATAAAGGGCTGAGCTGTGGTTTCTTTCTATTGTGCATCCACTCAACAAAGGCGCCCCAAAGAGGGTGTTACTATGTAAAGGGAGGGCACCTACCTACTCCACATTTTTTATTTGCCAAAGGCAACAATGAACTTTTCAAATTCTGATTTTTTTCCGTTTGACCTTCTAAAACCCTCTGAAAATGTTGGTGACAGTATTATACATTCAATTTGATTTTAGAGAACTTTAAACAAATAATTTTTAATTAATTGCCTGGATTCATGGCTGTTAACATCTATTTCAGCTCATTTCATCCTACTAAGGTTAGGGTATTGGTGAGTGTGCACTATCTAAGTGTCTTCCCTTTCTAAGAGCCTTGAAATTCTGATCAGTTTCAAAGTGAGTTTAGAAGTTGCCAGAAACACACAAGGTCAGAACATGGACCAACACACTCTTCCTCTGAGGTTAGAACTCTCCTGCTGAGAGTGCTCTAATTGTGGAAGGAGCTGTGAGTGCATGTGCTGTCATCACCTGCCCTTTGGAGCCTCATATTTTATGCCACTTCCTGTCTATTCCAGAATGTTGGTGCCAAGTCCATTCATTGCAGTTTAAATGCACAAGTCTTTCCTTTTGCCTGCCCAGGCTTTTGACTTGTAATTTAACTCAGTTTATCTTTTGAAGTTGTGTAGACCTTAGCTTAGTGTTTGGGAGTCTTTGAGCAAATGACTGCTTTCTGTTCCTGTCCTTCTGAAGTATGGTGCTGCTCACAGAACAGTCCTCATGAGTTCATGTGAGAAAGAAAAAAAAAGTATTGCGTGCAAAGTTCTTAGCATTATCTCTGCACAAGGGGAGCTCTGTGAAGGCCACTGGGGAATGTCCCTGACCCTTCCCACCCGCCGCCACCTTTGTTTCCCACTGACTAAATTACAGGAGAGTCTAGTGCCATCTTGCAGTCTAGTGGTATAATAGATCCTTTAGCACAGATGAATCTTGCTTTTCCAAGAAAAGCAGCTCTTTGTGACATAGGCCATTTCTTACAATTGTCTGCTATCTCATGTTCTGTACTGCATATGTAAGAGGAACTTAATGATTATTGATTGGCAGCCTTTTTGTTTGTTTGTTTGAGACAGGGTCTCCCTGTAGTCCCAGCTGACCTGGAACTCACTATGTAGATCAGGCTGGCCTTGAACTCACAGAGACCCACCTGCCTCTGCCTTCTGAGTACTGGAATCAAAGGCATGCACACCATCACGTCAGCCCCCCCCCCTTTTTTTTAAAGAGAAGATTTCACTACATAGCCTAAGCTAACCTTGAACTGAACTCACAATCTTGCCTTTATCTCTCCGGTGCTGACATTATTGGTGTGTGCCTCCATGCTTGGCTAATATCTGTTTTAATGTAAGAAGAAAAAATTTCAAGGAAGGACTCAAACGACATACTTTGTGTTGTTTGCTGTTCTCAGTAAACTGAAATGTGTTGGTGACTTCCCTCAGAAGGTTGATAGGAAAGAATTCCTTTAATCTAATTCTGTAGGGGTGTAAATCATCATCTGAGTTCTCTGACTCTGTGTGCTCATCTGTCATATTGTCCTGTAACACAGTGGTGAACAACAGCCTGAATTATGCCAAATGTCAACTTTGGTGTCCATTAGTCGATTGCTTTCCATTCTGTTGATACAAGAGTTATGCAGAATTGGTTATATCAAAGTGATATATTTCAGAACATGCACCTGGGATGCCTTGAAATTTCTATAATCTTGATTTTTGTGATTATATGTGGTCCCTTAAAATCTTGACTCTCCTTCTGTTCTCTTTTTTCACTAATACCATCTTCTCCTCTTTTTTAAGATTTATTTTTATTCCTGTGTGTCTCTGTGTGTATGCCATGTGTGTGCAGATGCCTGTTGGAGACCAGAAGAGGGTGTCGGATCCTCTAGAACTGAAGTTACAGGTGGTTGTGCATGAACTGCCATGTGTGGATGCGCAGAACCAATCTCATGTCCTCTGAAAGGCCAGTATGTGCTCTTTACTACTGAGCTCTCTCTTCAGCCCCTATTTGGTTAGATGGTTCAGCTACAATTCTAATTCTTATTGACCAGTGAATATGCTCCAGTAAATGCCAATCATATTGTATTATCAAATGGAGCATTGTATCGAAAGATTTCATTTCTTTTTAAGAATATTACTTCCTGGGCTGGTGAGATGGCCTGGCAGGTAAAGGTGCTTTGCTGTGCAAGCCTGGCGACCTGAGTTCAGCCCCTAGACCATATAAAGGTGGAAAGAGAGAACCAACTCCACAAAGTTGCCCTCAGACTGCCACATGTGTGCCATGGCACCATACCCTACATAATAATAATCTTTTTAAAAAAATGAGTTAAAAAGAAAAGCACTTCCTCACATCAGACTAAAATACATGGAAGTTAACAATGGAGAATCTTCCTACTCATTTCAGAGTTAGTAATTCAAGAACCACAAAATTGTTGCTGTGTTTAGATTTAGTCCACCGTGGACTGAGTGTTGACTTTTCATGTCTTGCAACAACAGCTTGAGATATAAACCAATTCTAATTTTGAAAACGGTTTTTGTGTGGTGTCTTGTTCTTCTAAATGATAGAGCTCTCCCCTTGATTCCATCAAATGAATTTCTTATGCAGGTCACTCAGTTCTGTTGTAGGAATGACACATTTTCATTTATGTACTGAGATCACTTAAGATTATGTGAAATCTTCTTTTAAAAGCTATTATTTAGTCATGTCTGGTGGTTCACATCTGTAATCTAACACTCAGCAAATTGAGGCAGGGTTATTGTGAGTTTGAGGCCTGCCTGAGTTACACAAGAAGATCCAAGGCAGCTTGAGCTACAGAATGAGTCCCTGCTTCAAAACATAAATTGGAGTTTTTTTTTTTTTTTTTTTTTTGAGACAGGGTCTCCCTGTAGCCCCAACTGTCCTGGAACTCACTATGCAGACCAGGCTGGCCTTGAAATCACAGAGATCCATCTGTCTCTGCCTCCTGGAGTCTTGGGAATAAAAGCATGCGCCACCATACCCAGCAGATTGGCACTTTTAATCCCAGTTTTTGGGAGGCAGAGGCAAATGGATATCTGTGATCGAGGCCAGCCTGGTCTTCATAGTGAGTTTCAGGCCAGCTGCAGCTACAGGGAGATCCTGTCTCAAAATCCCCCAAAATTTAAAAATTAATTAATTAATAAGGGTGAATTAATTAATAATTAGGGCTCTATAGTTAAGAGTGTTGCTGTTCTTACAGAGGACATGAGTTTGGCTGCCTGCACCCATGTCAGGTGGCTCACAACTGCCTATAATTCTAGCTACAGGGGATCTGATGCCCTCTTCTGGCCTCCACTTGCATTGGCTGGCATGTTGCATACTTAGGGCACACACTTACATTCTTACACATAAATAAAAATAAATCTTTAAAAAAAATAGAGTTATTTAGTCTGTAGAAGGCCAAGATATTTTTGGAACGATAATTGGATGAAAACAGTATAATAAAGACTTCTGACGCAGCCGCTGTCATTCTGAATAGAGGATTCTGTCTCACTTAGCTTTTTGGGATTCTTCATAGCACTGACTGTTTTCTCTGAAGGGACAGGGAGCCTGGAAAAGAGGGATGCCAGGGTGTGAAAACTAACAAAGGACCTGTGTGCTTGGCATTTGTGCTCGCCTATTTGCTCTAAGATCAGATTTTCACTGTTTCTACTTGCCCAGGGAGTTGGTGGCTGTTGCTGCTGCTCCTCCTCCTGTTCCTCCTGCCTCTTCCTTCTTCTCCCCCCACCTTCCTCCTTTCTCCTCCTCCTCCCCTCTCCTTTTCCCTCCCTTTTCCCCTTCTCTTTAATTTTCTAGTAAAACTTCTTGAAATATTCTAGGAGCCAACAGGAATAATTTCTCTGTGTTCTAGCTGGTTTCTGGTGGCCTCCCTCTGTCTCTAACTAAAATTATGAACTCAGGCATTGCTTCTTAAACATCTTATGTGCCTCTGCTTTGCATGGTTTACCTTTTTACTTAAATTGCATATTTTTCCTTTTATGCTTCTAATGGGATGACAGAACTCACTGAAGTATAAGAGGTCAGTGTTAACACTTCCAAGGAAGCATGTAGTTTACATTTGAAAAAAATGTGTGAGGGATCTGCATTCCTGGGTGCTTGAGTCTTTATGAAGCTTTGATCCTTGATTGTGAGTACCCCAGAGCATGCCCCCGCCCTTATAAAGATCAAAAGGAAAACTATGCATGCCAAAGAGAGTCCTCATTTTGAAAAGAAACTGTGTGTGGGATTCCTGGTGTCTGTTCTTTTCAGAACAGAAAGGACAGTAGTTTGAAGCATTTATCTTCTTTGTTCTTTCAGGGTGACCACAGTATAGAGGTCAATACTGAAGATGATGATGGGGAATTAGCCCTGTGGTCTCCTGAAGTCAAGATTATTGAGCTGGTGAAAGACTGTAAA